CGCTATTTGAAATTTATCAAAATTTACCGGGAGCACCGGTAAATTTTAAATTGTAAAGATTCATTATCCACCCAATACTCAAAATTTCCCAAAACTTTGTATTACCTTTAATCAATATGTGAAATGAATATGGGGCCTACATGTACATGTTTGCATTCTTAGACAGTACGTTGTATGCCATTAATCGTGGCAATAATTCAAACAAAAGCCTGGTTAAAATGTAAATTTACTTTTGTTTCTTACACAATAGAAGCAAATCAACAATATAATATTTCAGAAAGGGCAAACTTTCAATTTAAAGGGATCGTTTAACAATGTTAAATCTGAGATACACGGCCCTACGTGTTATCAGTGTCTGTGATATGGTGTAATATTGAAGCCCTAAAAAAATTGCGCTTCAAAATGATCAAGAAGTGCCTCAAACAAGTAAAAATCTTTGAGTGACCGGTTTTACCATACTCGTTTTCCCCAATAGAATGTAGTGTTATGAAAACCGTCAGGCGAACGGTTTTCAAAATTTGTAATTCCAATCATAAATATCTTGATAATCAGACAGGCGTTTGGCTTGTAAAAGTCATGGGGTTCCTGCCTGACTTAAAGGTTTATAATTATCATTGCATCGTGAGCTAAATCCAGAATTTTGTTTCAGAATGTGAGACAAAGTTACCGGATCCCTTTAAAACATACAGGTATGATGATAGTTATCAATTTGTTTGACATGTAGGCTACATATTAGTTAATCTTTTATTTTCTGGTTAGGCCACATAAAAAAAAAAAAAACGCTTAGCATCCTGTTTTTTCGAAAAATAGGAAGGAGTCCCTTTTTTTTTCTTTCAAAATGGCTGCTCGGTACATTTTCCCTGACATTCAGGCTATTTCTCAAGATGGCGGCCGACAATTTTTTTATTTTTTTTAAAATCAGAAATAGATCCATTTGAACAGTGTTTTTCATGTTTTTTTTCTTTAAAAAAATTCAACAAAAAAAAATTCCAAAAAATTCCAAAAAAAAAAAGAAATAGGAGGCGGCCCCCAAAAAGGAACGGCGGGTACGCTAAACATGTATATTTTTTACATGGCCTTCTATGGAACAAGAGAAACAAGAGAAAGTATCATGGGTTTCAGTTAACACCTTCTGGCTCTGAACAGACATTAAATATCAGGCTTCAAAACCCAATCCAGTACATTATTTTCTTTTCTTTTCTTTCTCTCTCTCTCTCTCTCTCTCTCTCTCTTTGACTTTGACATTTATGGCTGCTACGTGCAGAATCTTAATTTTACACACTTGTAAAATTAGATGGACTTATGAAATGTAAATGTATGAAAGCGTTACGAAGAGCAGAGAACAAAGAACTTAACTGACAACTAGTAAAATAGGAATGTATTTCACACAAATCATTTGCATGACGGGAGCTAAAGAGGAAGATGTATTTACAAGAAGCAAACTCTAGCAACTAACTATATAATTTTTAAAGATCCAGAATTTGCATTGTACCACGCAAGATTGGTGAGCTGCCAGCCTTCTAAAACAACAATTCTGCTAAGAATCTCTTTTCAGCAGATGCCCTTTCGCTAGTGACCTACTTGGGATATTGACCTACATGTACATGGTTGCATATCTACTAGTATAAACCTGCATCCCTGCTGACCAATCAAACTACCAAGTCTTGACCCTTTCAACCGAAGACCCAGTGCTTTCTAATTAAGCAATTCACATCAAAATCACCATCTGACCTCAATTTGAGAGCTGCCAACTTGACCCTTTCTGTAAACCATTTTCCTTCACAGCACAGCAATAACATCAATTAAGATTCATGGAAAATCATCAGTTATGGCAGTACATGGGGTACTTTGTCCCTTTATTATGCACAAGTTTGAATGGCACAGTATTCAATCATCAATCTCTATATCTCCATTATTGCAAGGACAATGAGAGAAATCAGTTCACAGTGCATCAGGCATTGTCACCAAAAGCAAAATGAACCAGAACGAGACTAGACCCACTTTAGACTGGATGTGATATGCTTCATACAAGAATGCTTTATTATGATATTGTTATTATGATTTTTAAAAAACATCTCTAGACAATCCTTCTCTCATGAGCTGCCGGAAGGGCCCAACCCTTTAAAGGGATTGGGTATCTTTGTCTCAGATTTTGGATTTAGCTCCTGCTGCAATGACAATAAACCTTTAGGTAAGTTAGGAACCCCATGACTTTTACAAGCCAATCGCCTGTCTGATAATTTATGATTGGAAATCAAAATCAATTTTTTTTTTCATTTTCCAAACAGTTGTTATGACACTACAGTCTATTGGGGAAAATGAGTATGGTAAAACCGGTCACTTGGTCTTGTTTCCAAAATGCAAAATATCCCGCTATTTAGAAAATAGCAGGCTAATTTGCGCCCGTCCTAGCTAGTTTTTGATGAGCATATCAGTCTGGTGAGGACGCAATTTCAAGCGAGTCTGAAAATAGCGGGTTATTTGGCAAAAACTCAAGCTGATGAAAACAGGCCTATTGTGACCTGGCCTACAACTCATTCTACCTTGCCTTTACTGCAGGCAAAAAACACTCATCTCACTCGATTATCTGAATCTAGGTCATAAGATATGCGCACAGATAGATGCACATGTACATGTAGGTCAATATATAATAAGGTAAAGTGCAGGCATATAATTTGTACAACGTGTGCCTTTGGAGCCAGAAGGGCTTTAAATCATATATATTAACACAGAGTTAACACCCTTTTGGCACTGAACAGACAATGTTATATACATGTATGAAGGGAGAGGGTAGTCAGTTTCCATGTGCAGATGCAAACATGTCAATATGTTAAAAGATTATTATTATTATATGCGCATATCTGCACACATGTCACATATAATACTCAATATAATGAAGGATAGATTTAATTATTTCCCTATTACCGGTATTCTAAACTTTTTTAAACACTGTCAAGATCACATGCAAGCATTCATTTCAAGAATGTTCCATTAAATAAATGTTCCAGACAGCCAAGGTTTGAATCTGAATGTGTTTTCATATCTTCAAAAATTTAAAAACATTGCACTCTTCAATGCCGTATGTCATTTTTTCTTTGTGTATACCACATTCCTACTTCTTAATCGGTTGGGCTTCACTTCACGTCATCAATACATTTCCTGGTTGTCCCCACCCACCAAAAAAATTCTTTTGTTGTTTGTTATTTCGATTCATTGTGAATTTTTTTCTAATTTTCAGGGCTCTATGCCTTTTTCTTGAAAAATTAAGGCAAGAGTGAATAAATGTTAGATTTCATAAGGTGTCAACTACAAATAATGTCCTTGGTGATTTTTTTTTTCTCAGAAAGATGTACACTCATAATCTATACTAAAAATCAGATTTTAGTGTTCAAGAAGATATTCACCATGTTCACTATTCATGTAGGAAAACACGTACACAAGGATCGAAGGAAAACAAAATACATGATGCGAACTATCTGAGATTAATTCAGTAAGAAGAAGAAAAAACAGAAAATTTAGAGAGGAACTGCTTTCCGACTGATACACTTTCCTTTCTAGGGCAAGAGGCTGACCTTGTAGTAACCTAGGTTTCAGACACAACATTTTATTATCAGGGATACCAGTGGGTTTCACCCAAGAAGTCTGACGAGAGACTGTAATATTTTGGAGTGTGCTCCAAATGTGCTGTATAATAAATATAAAGCCTGAAAGAGCATGAAATTGTGAGGTTTTCAAGGCTGGAAATCAGGCTATGGCCTGAAACAGGAATCTCTGTATAATTGTAATTGAGGAAGAAATATTGATCAAGTACAACAGATAATACTAACTTTGAATGATTCCTTCAATAAAGGTTAATCAAGGTGGATTTTTGCATGGTACTCCAATCTAGAAATAGATAGAATCCGAGATAGGAAACATGCTCTATATTACAAAGCGATCTCTCCTTTTCTCTTTAAAAAAAAGGGGGAGTATACAGTATTTCCAGAATGTTCAATTTGAAGCTCCTAGCCTATTTTCTCAAAGAAAATCGTTTTTTGACAGTGCATAGCCTTTCCTGACATGGCAGGAGGATAGAATAATAGGCATAGTGGGATTTAGAAAATAAATGTACACAGTAGTTAAACTGACACATTTCCCTTTATGCAAGACTACTTTGCGTGAGTCTGGTGCTCGTGCATAGAGGCAGAACGAACACAAAGAGATTTCAGATTCTCAGCTCGAATTACATAAAAAGGGGATTGGCCTGCAAATCTCTAGAGAGGGCTCACTTCAGGAAAGTAATCCTTCACAATGGAGTACCGCCGGGCACAATAGCTTTGGCTTTCCATACCCTACACCATGGTGAAACATAAATAACAATCTCTCTCTCTCTCTCTAAGTGCCATATCGTTTGACTTTGGCGATCATGCTGTTCCACAACCTTTGGCTTCTAGCCTTCTGTATTAGTACCACTCCCAGTTCATTCACTCATCTCTCTTCCAACAATTTCTGCAGACTGTCCATCCAAAGTATCCTCCTTCTTCCCCTACTCCTTCTTCCCACAATTTTCCCTGTCAAAGCAAGATTCTCTAGGGTTCTGTATGTGTAATGTGACCAATGAACTTCAAATAACAATACTGTACTAAATACATATACTCTAAGGTGTTGGAAATAAAGAAGGAAAACTTGATTAGTGAGGATTACTCCACACCAGTCAAAATGGAGACAGGGAACTTGATACTCTTGAAAATATTTCTTGGCGATGCATCCTGGCTTATTTCATTTGATGCTGGTTAAAAATGGAAGTAACCGGCAAAGCAGTTGGACTTTAAGTTTAATGTGGTTTACATTTGTGAAGTACCCAGTTGATAATAGTGTAAATATCTGTATTCGGCTTTCATAATTGGTATTTCCACAATACTCAAGACACACACACACACAATATATATATAACAGTTCGTAAAAGTAAATAATGACTTGTGATATTGAGCATCTTTGCATCAATATCATAGTGATCAGCATATAGGTATGGCAGACATATTGATCAACTGTACGTCAACAGGAGGAACATCAATAGAATATATTCACAAAAGTATGAGCAAACTATTGAGCACTCTTTCATCCATCAATGCACTAACGCAGACACACACTCACACACACACACAATAAAGTAGCCTAAAGCATATAGCTACACGCCTTAATATAATAAGATCGAATATGTATAATCAGCAGGGAATCTTCGTCAAAGATGTCCACAAAAAGGAATTCAACTTTTCCCCAGCAAAGGTATGCACCCACAAACATAAAAGAAATATATAGCACTTAATAGTACAGGTCCCTAAATGTCACACACAATAAGTACACAGACATCGTAAAGATACACGTAAACAAATGAACATGTAGTAGGACACTTCACTAACGACAAACCAACACAAAAAAAAGCATATGGGACTTACCACTGGTAGGCGCTAAAATGGAAGTAGACCATACCCAGTCCATAGAGAAAGGTTGCATCCTACAAAGAAAGCAGAACAAAAATCATCAAACTTTTGGTACAAAATCCACTAGAAAAGGGAATGTAAGCATCCCTGGAATGCTAAAATTCAGTGTCAAGTATACATACGTTTCTGGTTTTTACAGTTTGATGCATGGAAAAAATACACAGGGACTCGGGGCGAATTAGCCCCCAAAATGCCAAGAAGAGCCCGAAAGTCATAAAATAGCCCCCCAAAATTTACATTGAGTTCAATGCAAAACAACTTAAGGATTGTTATTTTCATGCAAGCAAGTTTGAAAAGTAGGCCCCCAATTTTTTTAAATATTTTTTGACTTACCGGTACTTTGATGTACATTCATAGACAAATGGGTGCATATGCACAGAGCTGTGTAACAGTAGACATACATGTAGACCACAAATTGTACCCTAAAGCCGGCACTCCAGGCAACAGTGTCTCTGCTATATATAGTGTCGTGCTTGAACATGTAAGTTTGATTTGGGGCGATTTGGTGCAATGTGTCCCTGACAACAAATGGCAATCCATACATTTCATCCATGAATTGAAAAAACTTCTTTAATTGACGATGACTAGTGGTAGTGATAGGAGAAAGCGCCATTATTCAATGGTCATACCAAAGAGATTCTTCATTAGTGGATGAAATATGTGGGACAAAGACAAATGTCATACAGAATCACCCTTTTTATAAAAACAACTTGATAGAAAGTAAGTCCTTTTGTTCCACACATTTATAAGATGATTTTGAAGAAAAAAAATTATCTTAAAGGGTAACCAGGGGCCCATCTTATAAACAGTTGTGATTGATCAAAATCGATCACAAGTCCTCCAATCGAACGCAAGTTTGCAATCCCCTTTCTCTTCTTTCTCTTATGTCCGTTGTTGCAATCAATGCGATCAATATCAACTTTTTATACGATAGCCCCAGCACTACTGCACTGGTCATTTGACAGTGTTTTGCAGATAAATGTTTAAATTTCTGTCTAGGAAAAGGGTTCATGATGCAGGACACAGCCTCCTATTGGTGTAATCAGTCATTTGAAAACATTTTAAATCTTGACGGAGGTTCTCAACAATTTTTTGTTTTCTTACCTTCCAGTATTCGCTATCCAACGTGAAGAACTTCTGGTAAGCTGATAGCGCTGTGAATAACGAGGAAAAAGGATGGCAAAGAACGTCATTCAGTAGCTCCAATATTTAACAAAAACAAGTAAAGTTTGAATATATCTTTTCACACAGTTTAAAATTATTATCTTTGCCGTAAAATTGTCTCCATCTATGGAGTCCATAAGAAAATAGAAACTGACAGCTTGAATCTTGCCACGATTTTACTTTTTTCTTGGGAAATTTGCTTATGATTCTCTTGTTGCCAATTATTAAATCTTATCTTCTGTTACATGTTTTATTTGTTCAGGAGCTCCAAAAGCTCCAAAAAAGCTGTGGTAATTCCAAAAAGAGCTCTTGCAAAAAACAATAAAATTCTAAAACAGAATAGGAATATGCCCCTTTCATATTAAGGGATGAAGAGGATTGAGTATGGAATCATAAGGTAATACATGACTTAGATCTACAAATGTACACTCAGCATTGATTTCTCAATACGCTTCCATAAGGAGGGTTGTGTCAGGCTCTAGTATAAACTGGAACTGAATTCTCCACAATGTGAGATGCAGATTGAGTGGGTATCTATCGCCCCTTTCATATTAAGGGATGAAGTGGACCGAGTATGGAATCATAAGCTAAGGCCCTTATAACTTGATGTTGAGTTTCCCGTCGCCCGCCCGCACTGTGATTTATTGTACGCGTTGGCGATCAAAAAACTGAAAGATTCATTATTTTTGTTTCTAACTTTTTTTTTTTTAACTTTTTTTTTTAAAACTTTTTTTTCTTAACTTCTTTTTTTTGGTAATATTTTTTTCTTTCCGGTTCGACTTCTGAATTATTGTTGTGAATTGCAAACTGTTATTGTTTTATTTGGACTTGTTCATTTTTTTGTCTTAAAATATTTCTGTTTTTTTTTAAATACCAGCTTCCACTGTAACTCTTTAACAAATCTATCCAATTTAATTCAGCATAATAATAATAGCTACTGTTCATCCGTTTTAATGCATGAAGGAACATTCTTCTGTTTTAAAAAAGCCCTGAAATACCAAGATTTGAGGTCATGAAAGAATAAAGACATTTGAAAAATGAAAACAAGCATTTAATACAGAATAAGATGCTTTAAGTAATTCATGTGTAAATGTTTGCTGTGAATCATGTATATCTTGGAAGTAATAGTACATATACTTAAATATATTGTGAATTATGGTAGAAAGATTTGTCACACTTGTTACTATCAAAGTATTCCTCTATTTGGATTTATAGCATGTGTGTGTGGGATTTGTTAAAACAATAATTGATGTTTGTATTCATGAAAATAATCAAGATACTAACAATGTGTATGTAATGAGATGTGAGATGTTCATACATGTATTAAGTTAACAAACTGGAAATACACAAGTTGAACCAACATAAATGAATTAAGTGCTGGTAAAAAGTTAACATAAAGGAATCTTGCAAATAATGAATAATGAAATAGCTGCCTCATTATGAGCTGAAAAAAATGTGACGGGAAACTCAACATTGAGTTATAAGGGCCTAATATATGACTCGATCTGCACATAGTGTGGACTTCTCGATCCGCTTCGATAAGGAGGTCATGTCTAGCCCTAGTCTGAAATGGAAATAGATTCGCCACAATTTGAGATGCAGATCGAGCAGGTACACTGTAGCTATCACCCCAGACTAAGAATGACTCAACCCTCTTCTCAGCGGCGCTGAAAATGAAAACGTTAACAGAAGATGGGTCACTTCCGAGAAGTGCTCTAGAAAGTTCACTGACCTTTGCTGTATTCTCCCAGCAGTAAATGGTAGTGTCCCAGCTTGCAGTAGATCTTAGGGTCACTGACCTCCTTCTTCTTGATCTCCTGCTCAAGCTGGGCAATGGCCTGGAAAGAGAGAGAGAGAGAGAGAGAGAGAGAGAGAGAGAAGGGGGGTTAATATTTATTGATCAATATCAGTGATAAAAGCAAACATATATCATTGAGAGAGAGGGAGAGAGAAAGATACAAAAAGAGACAGAAAGGGAATGAGAACAAAAAAATGCAGGAGAGAGTGGGTGAGAGTGAGAAAGATAGAGGTATAGAGACAGACAGTGATTCATATTTATTGATCGACATCAGGTAGAAGCACCCATAAATCATTACATTGTGGACTGATTTTGGATAAACACGTAGAGTATGCTACACAAGTAGTCTACAAGTATAATACAACATGTTGCATTCAAACTTTCACCAATTCTGTTACTCGGAATTATCTGCTTTCCTTCAAAACAACTTGCCAAAAAGGTTGGATACCTAATGCATGGACAAACATGGACAACCTATATCTCAACCAATTTTACAAGATTCCTTTCAATAAAGCATCAGACAAACACAGACAAGAACATAAATAGTTGCAGATTCATTTCTACATAAATAGTAACACCTCAGACAGACTTGAAGACTGACTCTTGATTCTTGGCCCCTTCGGGATAATGTATTAAATTTGTACTTTTTAAATGACAAGTCAGATGTACTCTTTGAAATTCATATGTAGTCCTGTAGTTTCAAGTTTCAATTGTTGGCTCTTTCACTGCCAAATATGTACATACATACAATGTACTAATTTTGTTTGACTAATATACCAGCGACAAATACTTGTACTTGCACAAATGTCCTAATCCAGTGACAACCTGTATATAAAGACCACCAAGGGAAACATGAAAGTGGTCTTTATAGGCAGGTGATCTTCATGTACAGGTTCCTTTAGCAAAGACTTTAATGATAAATCTTATCCAAGGGAAAGACAAATTATGGTCTTTATAGACAGGTGGCCGTTAAAGCAGGTATAGGCATTCATAGTCAATCCCAACTCCCAAATAACATTCTCTTTATATCCACAAATTATATTTGCATGTTCTCGTTACTAACTCATGAAAATCATGTCCCATCCCATGAAACCTTCATCGATGTGAACAAGAGCTACTCAATCACATGCTGCCAACCGAGCGATGCGACCTGACCTACATACGTCCTATTCACGCCAGCGTAAACAAGTCCAAATTTTCACAAAAACACAAACAGAGGTTCGCCCTGGGCCCTGGGAAAACTTAACGACAATGTAGTCTCTGAACCATAACTGGATAATGTGAGTAATCATCAAGTTAGCTTTCATAATGTGCCTTAAAGGCATCATTTAACAATGTTGAATCTGAGATTCACAGCCCTACACGTTTTCAGTGTCTGTGATATGATGTAAAATTGAAGTCCTAAAAAAATTGCGCTTCAAAATGACCAAGTAGTGCCTCAAAAAAGAAAAAAATCTTTGAGTGATCGGTTTTACCCTACTCATTTTCCCCAATAGACAGTAGGGTTATGAAAACCGTTTGAAAAACGCAAAATTTGATTTTGATTTCCAATCATAAATATCTTGATAATCAGACAGACGATCGACTTGTAAAAGTCATGGGGTTCCTGACTGTCCTAAAGGTTTACAATTATCATTGCAGCATGAGCTAAATCCAGGATTTTGTTTCAGAATCTGAGACAAAGTTACCCAATCCCTTTAATTCTAAAGCGCTTCTAGAGCGCCCCCACTTGTCTTGGGACTAAAATAAGGTGCAAGAAACAAGAACTTCAGTTTATTCAATGCAATTTCCCCCTCCATGAAATCAGACCTTTGCCTCTAAAAAGTCATTCTTTCTCACAAGTTGATTTGAGTGAAAGCATAACATCAGAGTAGCAGATTTGTAGAATATTTTAAGATTTTAGAGCCTTCAGACACAAAGTGTAACCACTGATTTGCCAATTTTTTAAATCCTATATAGTGATTACATCTTTATTTTGAATTCATAACTTTCGTTATTGTTTGTCTGATTTTGGTCAAACTTTCACCAATTAGCTTCTCTGATTTTGCTACTTTCCATCAGAGCAAATTGCGACTCAAATTGCATTTCTCTATTTTAATTTCATTCATGTTTGGCCAAATTGGGTTTAATTGGACATGTGAAATGAATGCTTTCCTAGGTCAAACGACTCAGGTCAAACTCTTGACCGATGCGATACATCAAACTCAAAGTAAAACAAACATGTAAATTAAAGAGAAAAGACTCAAGTAGGAGCGCCAATAACAAAATGGTCAGTAAATAGTAATTTTAAATTGCCCAATATTGGTACTGTATGCACACCTCCGATGGAAACCAGGGCCAGATGAATGAGAGCTTGCACCAGGGATGAAAAGATATTAAGTGCATCATGATACGTACCCCTAGAAAGTGATCACCCCTCAACACTCCCCCCTCCCCCCCCCCCCCCCCTCTCTCTCTCTCTCTCTCTCTACTGCATACCCTTCTTCTACCTCCACCTCCCCCCCCCCCCCCAATGGTACATTTACACAATCTGCACACCTTCAAAGAGGAGAATGTAAATGTGTAGCTGATATATTAGAATTGTACCTGAATTGAAAGATCTGCATAGCAGGACAAATCTCTGGCTCCCCCCCCCCCCCCCCTTCAACAATTAACTCCCTCCGGCAACCCCTTCCCCCTTCCTGGAGGAAGACTTCATTCTGAGGAACAGTTGTCTATGGGGGAGGGGTAACAGGGGTTCCTAGGAGTGTGTTCCATAGCATAATTTGAATTAAATCAATTCCAAAGACACAAGTAAGTTACACTAGCTTCTGTACAGCTTCAACGTGATCAATCTACTAAAAAAAAGAACTGAAATGCTTTGTAAGCAACTGAAATACAGGTTGTCACGTGTTCCGTCTGCTTTAAAGAGAATAAAGTGTACAACACAAATAGGCCACTGATTTGGCTTTGCACAAGAGGGCAGCAGATCAACTTTTTATTTGGTAGAATTGAAATATCTGAACATGGTACAGCTGTACATGTGGTATTTTGCAAACATTAAAATATACAGTATATAAAAAAGTGCTTTATAGAGATCACAGAGTTGCCAATTTCTGAAAGGAACATTGATTTTAAAGTTTGAGAAATCTCCCAATTGTTATCACGTTCTCACTTTCAGTGACCCGTTTCTATGCATTTATTTAAAATAAGTCAGGGTAGACTAACAGAAGTAGGCCTACCCTGTACTCATACATACATGTACGTATTTCAAGCCAGTACAATTCAATACATTGTCTGTGGACAATAAATGAAAGTTTGTTAGCTTTCATGTGTAAAGTGGTCTTTATAGGCAGGTGGTCTTATGTACAGGTTCATTTACTACATGTTCTAATAAGAAGATATGTTCAAGGAAAACTTAAAAACAGATGGTCTTTCTATACAGGTGGTTTGCTGAAGCGGGTTTGACTGTAGTATAGTGATGTAGTATAGTGATGTAGGCCTACAAGTATTCAGACTGTATTTTAAATAAAAACTTGTGAAAAAAATTTCTGACTCTTGCTGTAACATGTTGGTAATACTAATTTCCTTTACACATTTGTATGTAAACCAAGCAGGTTAAAATAAACTGAGAAATACATGTACACATCCTAAAATACAACAAAATATTGAGCATGTGGAACTGAAGTGAAAATTTAGAAAACCTGTGAGGAAAAGATGACATTTCATAATTTGCACCAATCGGTGGTTTTCGTAGCATCTAACATGTCATTAATAAAATTTCCTCAAAGGCTCATACTATTTCTTATCTTGGGGGTGTTTCATAAAGCTGTTCGTAAGTTACCAATGACTTAACGAACGACTTGAATATGAAGTGCCAGATAGGATGCCTAAAGTTTTTCCAGATGTTTTAACAAAGTGTGACTATATTTCCAGTAAACTCAATTTAATGAAGCCAAAAAATTTACTTTGCATTAAAAAATGTTTGTTATAATAAGAATGTTAATCTACATCTGCGCAGTTGAACTTTAGTTGATGCAATTAAAAAGGATTGACCATCCCATTTGGCTTTCCATATTCAAGTCGTTCGTAAAGTCATGCGTAACTTACGAACAGCTTTATGAAACACCCCCTGTTTCTCTTATATTCATGCTTTTAACAACAAGTCACCTACAGTATTTCCGGACTGAACTTATTCTCTAAAAATTTGATTGAATTTAAAACTCATGTGTTCGATGTTGACATTCATTGTTTTGGCATTATCTTTTAATAATCAGTCAATTTCATATTTTAAGACTGCACTTGTTTTCAAAACCATTTAGGTACTATCTTCTACCATTTGTATTTTTAGTCTACAGATTTACTCTCATTCTTTGATAAGTGTTTTGCCAAACATGACTCATAGTGAATCAAATAAAATATTCTTAAACACTCAAAAATGTCTGCAATGTTTAGACAACCCTCCAGTGTTTCCCAGTATACTTAAAAGTGATTTACATTGTGCTTCATGTCATTAAAAGGGAAGAAAGAAAGAAAGAAAGAAAGAAAGAAAGAAAGAAATCCTCAAACCCTTTTTTATTGGATACTCAGATATGGTTTTATTACGACTTTAACAATGGGTATAGTGCACATCACATTATGATACAATGTCCCTATGTGCTTCCGTAGAGCTAAATTATTTGCCTGGCTTTGGCTCTGGCAGTCATTAGGGACTTTTAGATTTACACAACGAGAACGTGGACCGCCACGTGTGACATCCTTTTAAGGTATTGTGACATCCTTTTAAGGCACTGCCGGGCACGGCCCAGCGCCTTAACACAATGTCACACGCGGCAGTCCACGCTCTTGTTGTGTAAATCTAAAAGTCCCTATTATTGGCGCACAGTGCATTTCAAGGTACAGTCGTACAAGGTACCCATTTACCTCACCTGGGTGGAGTGTGGAGATTAGAGGGGGTGTAGCTTGACAAATGAATGATCTCAAAAATATATCCAATTTAAAAAACATTTAAAAAGTCTGATATCATTAGGCCAACTATTCTATTTACTATGGTGATAACCTATTTGATGTGATTATCGACACAAAAGTCCAAATCCTGTAAATGGTGGAGGTTTTCATGACAGGAGCATGATGAGCATCACCCTGACCTAATAATACTCTTGATTAGCATCTTTCTATTTACTAAAGTACATGTAATGTAGATTTAAATTGAATCAAAACCCGGGAAAGAACATAATTTAGCAGGAACTCCAATTTCATTGGCAACAGTAACAATCTGACACTTAACGTTAAATGTTTGTTCAGATATGACGTGGCAAAACAACAGGCACAGCAGTTCTTTATGATAACGTAAATTGTAAAACACTCAACACTGTTTCTTACTTCTTAATGTGACACAGAGCTCTGTCGATTCCCGCAGGTAAGTTGTTGCTTGCAGTTCCAATTCATTTACACATTTTGGGGGCGGTTAACCGTTCACTGTTCCTTGTCTGAACAAGCTAGTTTAACTCTTCTTAAAGCTAAAGACCAGTTATGGTCATGCGATTGCATTGTGAAAGAAACGTTGTGAAATCGATCAGAAAAGGTTGATCATCTAGCATAGATGTACTGCAAGGTTCTGGAATCATCAAAATGATAAAAAATTTGGCCAAGTCTGTACACAGAAAGGTGTATATGGGACTACACACACGTGCGCGACACATGCATTTCATATCTCTCAACAGGCGAGAGATACACAAATTTACCAAATATATCACCTAGTAGGCGTTTTCCCATCAAAATTGTTATCATCATGTAATATTCAAAACATGTTCTTTCACATGATTGGTAATAAGAGCTTGCATTTCATTTTTTGAAAATTGGGGCATTTCCAATACTGGTCTTTACCTTTAGTTTAAGCTCTCTCTCTGTAAAACTGAAAGTCATTGATCATTCATTTTAATTTTCAATCTCCATCAGATTCAGAATCTATTTTACTTTTTTAGTTTTAGGCCTAATTCTTTTTTGAATCATTCTAAATTTCTAATATTCACACTCAAAGTCTTTGAGTAATTATACTTATAAAATAGCTCTAGTATTTTAAGCATCCTGATTGGTCAAAACGTGTCACATGACATGCACCTATTTTTGGTACATGTACAATTGTGCCAAAACAGCGCTGGCAAAAGTGATATTGCACGCTAAAAGATCGATATCCAGCGCAGCATACGGGTAGCTAGAGCAAGTAGCAAGGTCTTATCTTTTCATTTTCTAGAACCAACAAAGACTCTAACGTTAGATTTAGACTTTTGTTTGTTTTGATTTTCATGTGTCACCATTTTATAAAACAAATAACGCACTTGACCCTGTTGTGCATAATTCAAATGCAGTGTACGCTCGTACGTACGTTTCTTCAGATGGTGCACACTGTGAACTCGCCATGATGCACAGAGGCGTTACCAATGACCAAGTAAAGAAACCTCGCGTGCACTGCATTTCCCACCAACGAACGCTGGGCCGTGCATTATTTGTATTTGCACCAGGCATAAGAATTTTATATTCTTGGGTTTTAATAGTGAGATGATACTTATTCAATATTCCTTCCTTTTTGACTTAACAGATAAACATTGGTCATTGCGACGTTGACTTTCTACACCCAGGACTAAGCGAATCTAACACACACAGATCCATGCAACACAGTGCAAGGGCGTTATAGACTGGCGTATATTCGCGCCGGTTGTACGTCCCCATTCATAGGTCTACATTTATTTTTATCAACATACCTTATTTAGCATGGCCTTTTTCTGGGCTCCCTCTTCCCCTTCCGTCGTCATGAATCCAAAAAGTCGGCTGAAATAAAAGATAAAAACAAATAATGAACGAAAAATTAAATTTCAAAGTAGATTTTAGAATCGAAAAAACAAAATATTTTCAATGTCATAAAATGGTCCGCTTGGCTCACCTATCGTAGGCAGTCGACAAACCTACTTCAGCGGGAATGGGAGCGTTCGAAGTCATGACTTCTCCCACTTGTTCGGACGTCATTTTCCAACATTCTAGCTCAAAATATTAAACATCTACATTTCCAGAATCACCAAAGGAGCTGGAACATGCTGAAAATGGAGCGTCTAGCTAATCAGGAGCAGTTGATTTAGGTTGAAGTTGGAAAGCTTCGTACGGGATACTTGTACACACAACTCCACAACTCCCCTACCATTTACAATATCCACGCTCGTATGAGACTTGCTCAAACACTTTTGTAACGCCGGTGTGCATTGGCTAGACGTTAGTCACATGACCGGCTTTTTCAGAGAGGGGATTTTGTTTATCAGTGCGATATCTTTTTTTTCTCTCTCTCTCATTTTGTGAACCACAGGGTCTAATATATTTTCAGAAAAGAAAATAAAACTAGCCATTCAGCCGAATTACCTGTCATTTTTTGTGAGATGATTTCATCTCCTTTTATTACATTCAGTGGCAAAATCGCCTTTTTGAAACACGTGGAAACCTTTCCAGATCAAACACGAATTGGCTGAAAGTAACTGTACACGGTTACGTAATTAGCATGTGGCATATCTATATCCGTTCGCACAAGGTTCCCTTTGTTTGTAAACAAAGGGTGTGACGGGCTGATAGTGGATATATCCGCCCCACTCCCGGAACCTTGTCGCCGCCATGTCCCCTACGGATACAGACTAGTACCAGGTAGTTGGAATGATGAATCCTAGAATTCTTACGAAATGTATCGGATGACAACATATTTTGATCTACACTGTCGGTCATACAGTTGGAATATTTACCCCAATTTATGGAATTATTTTGACAATGATTTATTCCTAATAGATCTAGATAATAGTAGGCCTATACATTCTCAGATTTTATTGAATAATAATTTGCCAGTGTTTCTTTTGCGTGACTGCTAAAGCATGTGTATACTACTATGCTTATCAATAGTAGGGGACCTACGTCCTTAAGTCATAAATGAGTGAGGATTAACGCCCCACAAAAGGGCACCAATATAGCACATCGACACGGTTTTGATCCTGGGGCCTCGATCACAGTTACAAGGCCATTGCTTTGCCACTGAACCATGACTGTACGCAGCGGGGGCTAGGGTAGGGGGCAGTTCCCACAAATAAAAAAATAAAAAAATGCAATACATTTTCAATAATTCATTGCATTTTACCCCGGTCCCCAACATAAAAACAATCTTCTGTACGGCCATGCATTAATATGGCTCAAGGCATGGGCACACAGAAGATATTTTTCTATTAGTTGTCGAATCGACTTAAGAGCTACAGAGCCAGTAAGTAATAGTTTGATTTTCAGAACATTGTACCGAATGGTCGTACGTTTTATGCCGAGCAAAGATATTTATCAGTTTGATTTTGGCCATTACAAGTAGTCGGTTATTGATGTAGACAAATGCTCATATCATTTACAGCTCATTTTATGTATGTTATTACCAAAGAAGAAAACAAATCAGTTAGTCACTCGATAGTGTCTGACAGTCCTTGCATAATTTGAATATTAGGACACTGCTAACGTTTAAATTCCACTGATAGGACATGCATGATATATTTATAATTCCTGCAAAGTTCTACAGAATTTGATGTTGGCTGCAAAAGAGACATAGTATCTTTAATGCATGACCCAATACCCAAAACCAGTGTTTGGTGTTATTTTAATTGCTTAAAACTAGATATTTGACTAGTCGAATAAGTGGTATATAGTCGTTCTTTTCTTCAAAAATTATAGTAGATTGTTTCCTACAATAAATTGCTTGCGTAATTTAAAATATGAATGAGTTGAAGATCGTAAGCTAATATTTGCATCAGAAAAAAAAAATGTCTTGTTTTGGAATATGTCCACATTACATATTCACGACATTTTACGAATGAAGTATAAATCTCAAATGTTCAGTGGTGATTTTAACAAGAAATTATGGGTTAGTATGACTTCAAATTCATGGTTATTGCTCTTATTCTTATTTATGACATTTCTGAGTGCCCTTAATGACCTAAAATTGCCAGGTAACTTTAGACCCCAAAATGTTGAAATTTAGATTAAATCCGATCATACCAATTAAGCTCCACTTAAAAAAAAATACCGTGACCGTTAAATAAGTAATTAATGAATAAATAATAACAATACATGGGCCGGCTGGTTGTGCGCATATAACCAACACGAAAAAGCCAACAAAAAGCCAACATTGACATTGACTGGAATAAAACATTATAAGGCGCTATCTCGTTTTTTCAATGGTCGGTTCAAAATTATCGAATATTAATTTTGTGGGGCCCTATAAATATCAGAAACGCTTATATTTATGGATATTTTAGCCGGCTCTTAAATGAATTGGATCAAGCAAAGATGCTTTTGTCATTTAAATTGTATACCTTCTTTCAAATTTGACACTCAGTTTTTCATTATCTCACAAACAATTATTTTGTGTAGCGCCCTCTGCAACAATGAGGACAAACAAAATGGATTCATAAATGGCCGGCATAATGGTAATTTTTTTTTATTTCGTCCTCGAAATCCTCTGGAAGGGTCTATAGCCCAATGACAATAAAAACACTAAACGCAATGGAAGCCAAATACAAAATACGAATAGAACGAACATCATTTCAAGGTTATTCCAGGTCACCTCCCTGGTTATTCGCTGCAACATTTTTTTTTATGGATCTTTTATGTTTTCATCTAGATGTGGATGGACGCATTATTGTCACCCATGCCTGCATGATGTATACGGATCTAATAATCTGCCTTGATCGGTGGGGGGGGGGGGGCAAAGAAAAATGAAGAAAAGTTGTCATAGTTGTATATAAATAATATCCCACAAGATGGCGCACTGCATGAGATAGACGGCATTAAAGTTCTCGGGCATGTACCTAAGGGCCATGCACAGCGCCATAGTGTTGGCTAGTGACTCGGTAACCTTGTTGAAGGTTGATTAATTTTTGTATAAAATGTTACTTACTATATTCCTTCTACTGTACTAACCCTCTGACATCCAAAATATCCTGAAAAAAATTCCCAACCGTTTTTCCATGAAAAAAAGACATAAACCAGGCTATACAAAAATCTGTCAACACTTAATGTCTAGAATGGAATGTAGAGCCAATTTTTATTGCTTTGTGACGATTTGCATTCACCTTAAATGTAATTAAATTGTAATAATATAGTTGGGAGAATTAAGGAATCGATCAGATCAGTTTTTCCCAATTTGTACCATGAATATTATGGTCCGTTTTCACTCAAATTTTCAGATTATCTTTAATTGTACATCTAGCATTGAAGTCACTTTCTTAGCACCACTATCTCTCATCTGAACAATGTTACTGGCATGATGTTGGGCACCGATCATAGCAGGAGAATGAAACATGAGTCATCAAGACAACTAGAAAATAGGGGATGGCACATGGGGGGGGGGGGTACTCTTGAAGGCTACTGTACTGTATTCTTTTCGTGGTCCTTATTATATACCCCACTCTTGCTGTCCGTCCATCTCTCTCTCTCTCTCTCTCTCCCCCCCCCCCTCCTCTCTCTCTCTCTCTCTCTCTCTCTCCCTATCTCTCTCTCTCTCTCTCTCTCTCTCTCTCTCTCTCTCTCTCTCTCTCTCTCTCTCTTCTATCTCTCTCTCTCTCTTTCCCCCCCTCTCCTTCTCTCTCTCTCTCTCCATATCTCTCTCTCTCCCCCCCCCTCTCCCTCTCTCTCTCTCTCTCTCTCCCTATCTCTCTCTCTCTCTCTCCCTCCCTCCCTCCCTCCCTCCCTCTCTCCCTCCCGCCCTCCCTCTCTCTCTTTGTGCTTTCTTTTGTTTCCGTCATGCGATAGGGAGGGGGGGAGGGGCTTGCGCCTTTTTCTTTAACCTGCACCAATATCCTTTGGGGAGAAAAACAAAAATCCCTTTCTGAACGGTGGCAACCCAACCCTTGTAATTTGAATGAAAGCAGAAAATCAGTATTTAAAAAAAATTAGCGTTGGAACAAAGGGAAAGTTGTCCGCCACTAGATACATCACAGAGACATTACAGATTCAGACAATATTTGAAGAGCCCATATATACCTACGGTGTTCAGGCACGTAGCCAGAGTTCGATGTTGGGGGGGGGGGGGGCACATACATGTAATCGATCGAGGTAAAAAAAAATAAAAAAAAAGGGGGGGGGGTCTAAAAAGTTCAACCGATCTTGGAAAATTTTGGGGGGGCACGTGTGGGTGTGGCAAATGTAGATCAATGTCTTGCCAAAGGACATTAGTGCCGCAGCGGGACTCGAACCGCGGACCTTGTGATCATATAAAACTGGGCACACATACAATTCTGATTCTGTTTTCTTTTCCATACCCTAAATATTATGAATTTGATGCATTCCATAAAAGAGTGAGCTTTAGATGCCTATTTGTTTTCTTGTTGACACTTAACAAAAAAATCTATACATCTTATACGCCACATCAAATTCAATTCACATCTTAACGCACGCAAATTGGCAACAATTTCTTTTGTTCTTTTTTTACACTAGTCATAAGTCATTCTATTTACCCCTAAAACAGTCATTAAAGTAATCGTGAATATTAGTTTCGTCAACAAAAGACTCTTCATATTCGAAGTAACCGGTAATATTATCCTCTTCTTTCTTACGAGTAAAATTGATTGTTGATTATAAACAATAGGTGACACTCGGAGACTTGTACTCTTCTGAAGTACACGGTGTTTCAAAACATCGTGTAATTTTCACACCAGTGTTTGACGTATATAGCTTTGATTATTTTGATGCCTATCTTTTGGTAGTGAAATTTGTCATCAAAATATATTTTAAAAATATATAAAAAGCCTATACATATTCTTTCTTCTTCTTCTTCTTCTTCTCCTCCTCCCCCGTTATTGATAACCCTGTAGACATCCAACTCACTGGCAATCGTTGCAGCGTTAATTAGAAAGTAATGAGAGTTTGATTTGAGCTATCGAGGACTCGGAACAAAAGAAGTTTACTCTTCTTGTTGCTTAGCTATTATATAATAATGGTGCGATATTGATTCTATTAATATAGAAAGTCCGGTTAAAAACCTGGGCATAGTGGTAGGAGTTGGGGGATTTTTCAACAGATTAAAAAAAGAACAATTTTATTAATGTCTTTAGATTGTCACTTGCTTCTGTGATAACGATGATTATATTCCCATTTTAACTCTTTTCGAAATCGAATACGTGTCAAAGTTCTGTTATCATGTTTCTCCCGAAAACC